CTGGCAGTACTTCTGGCGCGAATAGTGATACAACCTCTTCCAGCGCATCTATGAATACACCAGCCTCAAATTCCACGTCACCTGACTTATCCAAAAAACCCTCCTCGATCAACTCGCTTCCAGTTGGAGAGTCAAATAACTATCCTGCAGTGACTCCAGCGTCTAATGTTGTCCCCGACCAGCAAAGTACAAAATCAGGCTCAGTCACTCCGCCAGCAAGCGGTCCAGTCCAGGGTTCAGATTCCAACACTTTGAACGTGGAAGCTCCTGTCACTGGTGGAAATGGAGGAAGCTCTTCGACTCCCTCACTCTCAGCTGTCTCAGCAAAACAATCCGATTCACCTCCCTCGGACAAGACGAAAGATTCTTCCGCGTCGAAAGGAGATTTAGTCCCTTCGGTCTATCCAGAGGCCGCCACTGATTCTTCATCTGCAAGTCGGTCTGCAAGCACAGCAGGACAATCTTCCCAAAGCGGTGGCTCTCAAAGCGGCGGTTCTCAAAGCGGTGGTTCTCAAAGCGCCTCGACCGAGTCATCAGCGCACTACAGCCAGACTGACATTGAGGATGATGATTCTGACACGGAAGATGATGAGGACTACGCTAATTCAGTTGAACACCCGAATTATCCATCTTTCCAGAATACCACAACTGTTGAGACAACATATCTAAATGGAAATGGTCAAGAATCAGGCCAAAACAGTTCTTCCTCGAATTCGCTTGCATCCTCAGGTACCGGTTCCAACATGTCGGCAGGTGCGCTTGCCTTGTCGGGTACCAGTTCCAATTTGTCGACAGATGCGAGTGTCTCCTCGGGTACAACCGCCAATACATCAGCCACCGGATCTCTTGACTCTGCAAAATCAAGCTCTCAAAATGTCACTGATGGATCTCTGTCGAATAGTAACCAAACATGTCCAGCTGGAACTACCAGCCCCGCTGCTGAATCTCAAAACAAATTAACTCATATCAACGAACAGATTGTCAAGATTGAAGAAGAACTTCGTCAGCACAAGATTAAGTACCAAAAAGCGAAGGACCAGCTTGCTCATGTGAGTACTCTTTCGAGATAATCTTTCATGTAGCCATTTGATTTATGGTGTTTCCTTTCAATGGATAAATCTCCACGTCAACGGTTCCATTCCACAGGCAAACAGCTCAAGTAGCGATTCCAACGTGACTTCGTCGGCGCTGACATCGAACAATCAGACCAGCAATGCTACCTCAGCTCTCAACAGCACTGGTACAAACGACACTTCATTACCATCTAATGTGTCAAATATCAATGGGAGCGCCAATGCTACATCCGCTCTCGATAGCCCGAATGCTATCCAAAACAACCAGAGCACCAACGCAACTTCAGCTCTCAACAGTTCCATTACAAACGACACCGTTGCACCTGCAAGCTCTAACATCACCCAGACAAGTCAACTTGATCCGAACTCCACTGGAGCAGATTCCAACGTAAGTTCCCAAGACGATGTGAGACTCCCTTCACGCTCAAGAATCCCTCATCTGACATGTTTGCTTTGAATTTGTAGAACTCGAGTGGTCCCAGCGGCTTGAACTCTACCATGGCCAACAGCAGTGAACCATCAAATTCAAGTATTTCATGGAGCTCTTCCATGCCATCATCATATCATCCCGTACTTTCGAAACGAGCTGGCGAAAAACCAACCGCTACTGCTTCTTTGATGAAACGCACATTCATGTTATTCGGGGGTCCTGCTGGCTCTGACTATCCTACGGAATCCTCAGATGCAAGTCAGACAACGGCTTCTACCGCTGACCATGCGTCAGATAGTGAAACCAGTTCATCACCCAAAACCAATCTCTTGGTCACAGCAGCAAACACTACTGAAGGTCTAAACTCTACTATAAAGAATGATTCTTCTCCGCCAGTCACGACAAGCGGTGCCAACGATACCTCGACAGACTCTTCGCTCTCAAACAGTTCTACTGGTGCCAGCTCCAGTGCAACGAACTCTTCTGACATTCCAGCCACTACCTCCGGTCTTAACTCCTCTGCTAACTCGTCTGTAACAGACAATGTCACTGTACCCTCAAGCAATTCCAGTACGATATCATCGACTATATCATCGACCAATTCAAGTGCCGAAAGTGGAGAAAGTAAAGAATTGGAGGCTCTGAAACGGAGCCTGCGACACGAGAGATCCAGAGTTGAATCTCTCAAGAAAAAATTGAGAAGTCAAAAGACGCACAAGAAGGCAGTCGAAAAGGAGTTGAAGATTCTATCCGTAAGCAAACATCATTTTTTTCATCATCACACATGTACTAACAAAATCTCTATCATATCCATTCTTTTTCCAACAGAAAAACTCAACCGCTACCGCCTGTCAACCCCTTGCAGCCAACTCAAGTTCACCAGTCTCCGCTTCAGCGACCAACGATACCTCACTTGGCACGAATTCAAGCTCAACAGCTCCAGTGACCAACCTCACTGCAACTACCAACGTAAGCTCTCCAGACAGCCTTGCGAGCTCAAATGTCACGGCTTCCAACAGTACCGACACGGCCGGATTAAACACCACCTCACCGATAGGCCAGAGCAACACAACGGTATCACCCGCTGCTAATGTCTCGAGTGTCGTGACAGGAAGTCCCGTCGCAAATGTCTCTGACTATCCAACAGGTTTGAATGCGAGTACGGGTTCAAACAGCTCCGATTCTCCCACAGGTCTGAATGCGACTACCAGTCTAAACGGGTCAGCTTCTCCGACTGATCTGAATGCAACTGCCAGTCCAAATGCCACTGTTCTTTTAGCATCTGAAAATGCTACCGGTATCGACGCTGGAACCCTTGGATCCACAGCCACAAATTATAGCTCATTGTCGTCCAATTCCACAAACGGATCAGATACCCCGACAAGTAATGCGACAAGTATTCCGGTGACTGAAACCAAACATTTGGTGACGCCTCAGCTTAGCAACCCTTCACTGAAAGACGCGACTTCTGCTAACAGTGCTCAAGAAATTCAAAATTATCCAACCTCGAGTAGTAAACGTCGAATGGCATGATTGAATGATATTTCAAATTAAAAAATATACCTTTGAAAATCTGATATGTGATATATGTAATTTTGTTCATTGATCGTTGATCGGGATTTTGTAAATGTTGTAATCTGTACCAAGACCATTCCTTAAACTTCACCCAAGCATGAAACTTACATTCCTTGACTCCCTAAGAAATTTCTCCCTGCCGCATGAGATGTGAGAATCGAGGGAAACTTCCATCAGACATTGTCTTTGCAAGTTATTGCATAACCAAGGATAAGCTGTGCTAATAAGATACCAGCATCTGGATTCTTGAGTCACAAGAATTTGATGCCAGGATTACATGAGCGAACATGATCGCGAGCTGATTCAACGGTGCCTCCTCTTGAGAATTCTGACATCCTCTTGTGTTCAGTAATACTCTTTGTGGGGTATAGTTCAAGAACAAGTCACTTTGATAAACCTCTCTCTCGAACAAGCATTTTCTTTATACTACATCTACACTTCAATCCTGAAAGACAGCGTTTAAATTTCGTTCTCAATGAGTAGGTATAGATCCAACACAATCAGTAAGTTTCAAAGGTTTGAATTCTTCAAGGAGTTAAAGGCTTTTATAGTAGAAATTCAACACTTCTTCATATTTCAGCATGATGTCTGTTCCACAATTGAATTTGTAGCTGACTCTGTCTCATGTTTCAAATTATACTGATTATTCCTTGATATCCTTTTGAGCTTTAGTATCATTGTAACCAGTCACTTTAAGATATATAGCGGAGGTAATGTTGGATCATGAGTGTGTTTACTTTTCTTTTGTTTGATGACAACATTAAAGATTGATGTTATGTATGAACCAAATAGACTGCAGACATTAGCTTACAGTATGGTATGTACCTGCACTTACTAATCATTGTTCAAAGGAATTGTAGAGATATACTTTTTGGGGGTTCATGGAGGGAAAACAATTAGTTGAAGTAGGAAAGGTATGGACAAGATGTGATTTCTTTTACAGCAGAGAACTGGATCAAGTTACATCAAGATTTGATGCAGCCAATTAAGTAGAATTGACTTCTTATACTCTTGCATTACATATTCATAGCCTCTTGCACGAGGCACGACATGCAAGACATGTCCATGAAGTGAGTAACAATATGTATGTAAGATCCCAAAAGGGAAACTTGGATTGGAAATTCCCAATTAAGACATGATGAAATCCCGAGGAAGGGAAGACACTTTGATGCCAGAAGGCAAAGAAGTCTAAGAGCATCTCCAATGTGGCTGAATCCGAATAGATGTACAGCTCAGTATTTCCCTCGGCTGGACAGCTGTAATTTTTTTCAGGTGACAGCGCCCTGCAACGCACAACTGAACTTCTTTCCCAATTCCTCATAGGGTTCATTTGAGGTTGAACCCCCGTCACCATATGTCTTCATCTACGTAATTGGTCGATCGCACCTATCGCGTTCCACACAATACATGTGATTGATTGCGCTCACCTCACGTAAAGAAAGAGAAAGGTAGTCCACGGATGTATGAATTTCTTTATTTTTGGCCCAATAGTCGTTGGGATACTGGGATTCAGATTATTCGGCCAGGTCAGCAAATTTGCTGACCTGAGCCTGGGAACGTGTCATTTCCGAAAAAACGAGTTCACACGGGAGGTTCCATGTGGGAACACGACCTCGGCGTTGGATGAGGTTTGTCTGAATAACTCCAATACAGGTTACGTTTCTGACAGAAACGTAACATTTAGTCATTCAGATTCGGGAGCATTGGAGATGCTCTAACCCAGAGACAGTTGTTCCCCCGTCACCTCGGCAGAAATTTCCTCCTTTCCTAGTTTCCGCTCCCTCACTTCGTACTATCCATCTCCCAATATTATTCATAACTCAATAACTAGTTATAACTAACTAGAAAACTTTTTAAATCCATAAATTAATAACTAGTCATTCAGAAAACGTTTTGATCAAACATCTACGTAACCAGACGAGATGACAATGGCCATGTCTAGTATTTCAAAAGCAATAAGGGCAAGCAAAAGAGTTAGAGGAATGGAGGTGAGCCCAATGGAAGGAGATGACGAAGAAGGAAATCAAGTCAACGAGCAAGAGGCGGACGGAAACGAAGATAAAGGAAAGAAGAGGCAAGAGGTATCAAGAGCTAGAATAGAATCACAGACGACAGAGAACGACCAGGTACCCCTAGCTTCAACTTCAGAGAATCGATTGAACCCGTCCTTCATAGCACATGTACCGATCCCTTTCCCAGCCCCACCGAACCCAAACCTATCCGCTCCTTTGCCGAGAGAAGGTACTACACAATCTTCATCAGACATCGACGACCTACCAGACAACTTCCGAGACGACGAAAGTCAAGAAAAAGGCTCAACGATATCAGAAGCCTCTGACATCGGTAGAGACAGAAAAATAAATAGCTCGTCCTCATCTCACGATTCCTCCAAGGAAACGGACCAAGGATACGATTCAGATTCAAGTTCTAGTTCGAATAGCAACGACAGTGACAGCGACACAAGTTCTTCAAGCTCCGAGAGCGAGTCAGAGGATTCAAATGATTCAGGCAGCTCGGAAGATCAGAGAAAGAAAGGTAAGGAAATTCTAGACGTCTGCCCTCCAGAAAAATTATCCTTTCTACCCCCACGGAAGAATGCTCCTATCACACAATTACCCCATAACACTTAAAATAACCTGTAGTACCACACATAACTCTTGTTTCTCTCATATACCACAAAAATCCTCTCACATAAAACCTTCCCCCTCTTCCCTTAATCAAATCTTTCCACATTCCTAAAAACAATCCTCTATCAGACATAAAACTATCACGAATAATCGGATGCCGATAAAAACACACTCTCCTTTCCATAAATATCACTGTATCGGTAGAGACACAGTCTCCTGGTTAGCTCCCAAGAGGTAGAGCGCCTCTGGAAAGAGAAGAGAGTAGCAGAAACTCTATCAAATGTGAAACTCTGTCTGAACTATCAAATGTGAAACTCTGTCTGAAGAGACACGGAAACTTAACTCCGAAGGAGTCAGAGAGACACGAAATTATCATAACGTACAAATAAAATTCCAAAATTCCTTTAATGCTCTCAAAATAGAAAAAGCACATTCCCTTAATACTCTCATAGTTACTATAAGAGAGCAGATATATTTCCCAGAAGTGATAGTAGAAAGGTCACTGACAACAATCTAACCATCTATCCAAACAACAGAAAAAAAACGGAAAAGATCTAAGAAACTGGAAAAAGAATTGATGAAAGCAAAAGAGAAGATAAAAGAATTAGAAAACCCTTCAAAAGGAAAATCGTCATCGAAAAAGAAGAAAGATTCCAAAAAAGACTCGAAGAGAGCACAGAAAAAGAAGAAAAGTAGCAAGAAGAAGGGTATTCAAGTTGATATAGGTGTGATCCCGGAATCGAATCTAATTCAACTACAGCCATTCTGGCGAAAACAGATGAAAAAACTAGAATCCTCAATTCCACTTACAGTTTTCGACCAAGGCTTCGCAAGAGCAGATAAAGAGGAATACGAGAAGCAACATCATTCATCATCATCAAAGACATCAAAAAATAAAGGTTTAAATGCACCATCCAAATTTAAGATGACTTATGGCGAATGGACAGAAAATATAAGTTTGTTCAAAAGATACTTAATTCAACACAATCAAAGCGAAGTTGCAAAGAGACTTAAGTACCACATAAAGAATGTGAAGCAAGTAAAGTAAGACTTAAAGATATGAGTCCTTGAACAAACACTAACAAATAAAATTAATGACAGGAGATTGACGGAGTGCTGGATGACAGCACTGCGATACGACATATTGTGTAGAAGACACATATTCGTGGAACGGATAGAGAAAGAACCGATTAAAGATATAGGAACATTCATGAAACGCTATGAAGACAAAGCGAAGGATAAATCATTATCATTCGGAGAAGCGAACGGCGGAGAGACAAACCCGTACACAAAAGGAGGGAAACTAGAATTTAAGCACCCAGAAACGGGGCAAATGTTGTGAGTGAGAACATAATACTTAGCTTGAGAAACATCAAGAACGAAGAGAAACTCTGACATATAGAACTAGAAACCAACCACAGAGCCACATAACTCCAAACCAGTTCGCATCAACCTCAAAAGAAAGCCAATTCCAGAGAAAAAGAAGAGCTCCTAGACCTCAACGTTTCTACCCAAACACTTCAAACCAGACCTTTAACCCTTATCAATACCAAACAAACTTTCAAAACCACAGCCCAGGACTAATGAACCACCCACTCCCAACGCTACACATGGGCTTCAGCAGCCAAACGAACCAAGGAGGAACTTCCAACCCACAAATACACCAAACAAATACTAGTGGTACCGGACCACCAGCAACCTCCTTCCAAAGCAGAGGAAATAGGGGAGTATGGAGAGGTGGAAGAGGAGGTATAGGAAGAGGAACTGGAAGACAGGGTCAGAACGAGACGTAAGTATCGATAAAGAAACACCCTTACTATCAGATAAGCAGAAGGAAGCGAAATGTTAAAAACAATAAATAAATTAAAAAAAATTAATCTAGCCAGGAGACTGTTCCCCTTTTAATAATATTCCCTTTTTAATAATCCTGTAATACACTTCTATTCACTCCTTTAATCACCATACTCATTTCTTTTCTTTGAAAACCTTTCCTTTCGTTCCTTAACAATTGTAATCACACTTGAAGTAATGAATCTCATAACTGCTTTGTTCTCATTTAGGGATGTCAGCCGATCACATCCAGACGAAACAGGCACAACGCTGTACAGTGCAGAGAGAATAGAGAAGATAGAGAGAGTAAGAGAAACAGAAACAAGGAAAGAGACGAACGAAGGAGAGAAAGAAGAATCTCAACACCAGCATAAATCGGAAAGAAAGGAAGAAACAGACCAAAAGAACTGGCCGAAAAACGTGAAGTGCGACATGAACATAGAGTTTTGGGGAGAAGAACTAAAGAAGTACAATTTACTTCCCTTTTATGAATTCGTACTAGAAGGATTCGAAGGAGTATTCGATCAAGGAATACCAACACATACGATAAGAGGCATGAAACATTACTGCCCTCCAAACCACAGCTCAGCTATTGCAGCAAGAGACAAGATAGAAGAAAGCATACGAGAAGAGGTAAAAGCTGGAAGAATGTTCGGACCATTCACAAAAGATGAAGTCCAAAACCAATTTAAATTCTTCAGGTCCAGCCCAATGGGAGCTGTGACCAACGGTGACGGTTCTTTCAGACCGATTAATGACCTATCATTCCCGAAAAACGACCCCAACATTCCAAGCGTGAACTCATTCGTGGACAAAGAAAAGTTTAAAACAACATGGGACAATTTCTCTAAAGTATATACCTTCATAGCCAACACAGAACACCCGTTGCTAATAGCGTTATTCGACTGGCTCAAAGCTTATCAACAAATACCCACAAGGCCCAACCAATGGCCATTCCTCCTCCTGATGGACTTCAACGGCTTCCTTTATGTAGACACCTTTATATCATTCGGTGGTGTCGCGGGATGCGGAAGCTTCGGAGGACCGGCTGACGGGTGGAAAGAACTGATCAAAGAGAAGTTCGAGCTGGAAGAAGCTTTTCGGTGGGTAGACGACAATCTACTCATCAAGAGAGCGGACTCATCAACCCATATGGACGAAATAGTATCATATAGCGCGAGGTTAGGAGTTAAAACCAATGAAACGAAGTTCTCGCATTTCGGTGAACAACAGAAATATATAGGATTTCTATGGAATACAAAGAACAAAACTGTAGAACTACCAGAAGGTAAATTAGAACAACGCATAGCACAATTAGACGAATTCTTAAAGAAAGTAGATTACACTTATAAGGAGGTACAAAAAATGAACGGCAGGCTGAGCCATGTAGCCTACATCGCACCAAATCTACGTTGTTATCTATCAAACAACTTTAAATGGCTTTCAGAATGGGTAAATTTAGCGGCGAAAAGGAAGATGCCGACCACCGTAAGAGAAGACATGAACGTGTGGCGGAATTCTTTACAAGAAATCCCTAGAAGACACCTTTTAAAAACTAGACTAGTGAACAACATAGGTTGGGTGGGGGACGCCTCTACAACATTCGGTATAGGCGTCATAATAGGAAAAGACTGGGGTCAGTTCAAACTGAGAAGCGGTTGGGAAACACCACCACAAGGCCCAACCAGAGGGATCGCTTGGCTAGAAACCGTGGCGGTGCGATTAGGATTAATAATCGCTCAGAAGACAAAGAAGATAGAAGGAGAGAGGTTGCTTGTACTGACGGACAACACCACCACGGAAGGTGTCCTAAGAAACGAGAGATCCAAAGATTTTTGGGTAAATGAAGAATGGAAGATGATATCAGAACTAATGTTCCGATACGATGTACAGTTAGAACAAAAAAGAGTGACATCTTTAGATAACGCAGCGGATAAGTTATCAAGAGGTTTGCCGTCGTCAAAAGAATGGTTCAGACAGGTACACATTGAAGTACCACAAGACTTAAAACCTTGGTTGGAGGATCACACGATGGATCAGATAGAGACAATGATAGAGAATCAGTAAGAAGGTACGATAAAGACTATACGTAATGTCGAAACAGACAACTGACAAAGATTCCAATCATAGAACGAGGGAATTACGAAATATAACGTAAACGAATTGACGTAACAGGTTCTCACGTACAACTCAATCAAATATCAAATGGCCGAGAGAAACTCCACCAGACCGCTAGCTAGACACAACCAGACCCAACCATTAAAGAGATCACCGACCTACCTTTTCAGTTTAACTATATACTATCTACAAGCTTGACCGACACGCAAACCCTCTACCTACATCGTTCCAGTCAGTCTCAGAATACAAACCCCAAGGGAAAGAGACATCAGTGAGTTACAAGAGATATTCAAACCAACCAAGAGCCTTTGTCTCAAAGTGACGTGATTCCACAGGTTCCAGTTCGGGCGAGATGAAAGACCTAACCACCTTCCTACGCATTCAAGACGACATACCTTTAAGGCTCAACAGAGCACAACGCCACATGCTAAGGGCGGCTTGGAACAGATTGACCTTAGAGTCGTACGCATCCGGGGTAAAGAAATTCAAGGTCTTTACGAAGGAGAAGAAGCTCAACGCGTGTCCGGCATCGATACAAACCGTTGAACACTTCATCATTTGGGCAGGAGAAAACTGGGAGAAAAAGAACACCAACAAACCGATAAAAGTCTCAACGATTAGGAAGTACCTAACGGCTCTACGGATGTGGCACGCATTCCACGGCTTCTATTTCCCGGACGTACAATTAACACGACTCAAGTCTATACTAAGAGCATCAGAACGTCTCGAAGCTAGAGCTCCAGCTAGAAGCCTCAACCGAGAACCCGTGTCACCAAAATCCTTGATCATCCTGATAGGCGACATAGCAGAATTCGAAGAAGACCCTAAAGGTCTATCAGCCATAGCTCTCACAGCCTACTGGGGCCTAGCGAGACTAGGCGAGCTAGTTGGGAAGTCAGAGGCCTACGAAAAGAACGACTTAAACGCCATCCTCCGTTCTGACTTATCCTTTCACAAGTCCCACGGAGCCACGATAGCCGTGATTGGTATCAGAGAGGCAAAAACCGCCGCACCGGGAGAAATGCAATACTTAACACTTCGAGAAACCGGTGGAGTACTATGCCCCGTCGCAGCACTAAGAGAGTTAGCTCACTCTCTATTTTGGGAAGAAGACCCCAGACTCTTCCTGTCAAAAACTCGAGACGGGTTAAAGGCAATCACGTGGTCGACGATGTTGAAGACGATGCATCGAGCGTGGGGCCCTAACTCGAAGATGACGGGACACTCGTTTAGGATCGGAGGCACGACGCTGTTAACTAGAGCTGGAGTAAAAACCGATCAGATAAAAACACTAGGTCGTTGGAGATCTTCCTGCCACACTTTATACCAACGCAACTGGACGGATCAAGAATGGGAATCAGCAAAGAAGGCCTTAACGATCTCAGAAGACACTATTCCCTGCTATGACACTGAATACGATCTTTCAGTGGATACCTGGATGGTGGATGACCTTCCCAATGACCCTCCGAAGAGATGGCTCTTACGAAACACCATCCAACCGAAGACGTCGCGCGCGGCAGTCTAGACGACCAGGGAGACCTTCACTCGGGAGTTATAGTAGTCCTCAACTAGCCTGCACGCATATGTATCCAGTGTTTCGAATTAGATTCCATTTATACAAATGAGTTGTACTACTACATATGAATTTCGTTCCATAAGGCAAGCATCATTAACCAGAACAATCCTAGCACCCAAGTCTGGAGACAGGTAAGGGGAAAGCCTTCTAGGCTCAGGCCTGACCCCAGACCAGAGAATGGGAAGTAGACTTTCCCCTTAAAAAGATCCAAGGAGAGAGGTAGGAGGTAAGACGAGTAAGTTCAATCCAGGAAAGAACTCTACGAGGAGCATCCCTCGCGTACCGTATCCACTACCGGGGCACAACGTGGAGACGTCCTCGTAAAGAGAACTCTACGCACCTTGTGCCCCACCTCCCACACAAACCTTCCCTCACCTAGTAAAAGACTAGGCAAGGGAAGGAGTTTTTTATTTTTTCTTTATGCAATGTAATGCGGTTATAATTCGAAATGGATAGCCTCTTGCACGAGGCACGACATGCAAGACATGTCCATGAAGTGAGTAACAATATGTATGTAAGATCCCAAAAGGGAAACTTGGATTGGAAATTCCCAATTAAGACATGATGAAATCCCGAGGAAGGGAAGACACTTTGATGCCAGAAGGCAAAGAAGTCTAACCCAGAGACAGTTGTTCCCCCGTCACCTCGGCAGAAATTTCCTCCTTTCCTAGTTTCCGCTCCCTCACTTCGTACTATCCATCTCCCAATATTATTCATAACTCAATAACTAGTTATAACTAACTAGAAAACTTTTGTCCTCCCACCCACCCCAACAGCATCGGGTACCATACGTAGCAAGACAAAGGAACGGTAAGCGAGGAGGTAAGACGAGTAAGTTCAATCCAGGAAAGAACTCTACGAGGAGCATCCCTCGCGTACCGTATCCACTACCGGGGCACAACGTGGAGACGTCCTCGTAAAGAGAACTCTACGCACCTTGTGCCCCACCTCCCACACAAACCTTCCCTCACCTAGTAAAAGACTAGGCAAGGGAAGGAGTTTTTTATTTTTTCTTTATGCAATGTAATGCGGTTATAATTCGAAATGGACAGCGGATCATCTGCATATTTGGTCACTCAGAGTCACTATGCACGTGTTCATAGTTTTCAAAACATACTTTTTCTGGACTTCATAGAATCTTAGTAAAGTGTTGAATACTAACACAGCCAATTGGACAATGGACGTTTTTTTTTGAAATGCACATCAATTCAGGGTGCAAGACCTGGTTTTGTTGTTTACCAAGGTTTGTTTCTCTGCTGATTTTGAAAATACACTCTACGTGCATACACATGTGGGGGCTGGATTTTTAGCACTTAGAGGAATATTCACAGGAGCTCCTCCCTCTAAGTGCATAATGGTATGGATATCCCTCTAACTTGAAATATGGCAGTTAGAGGGACTATCCCTTTGATCAATTGCCTGAAAATTTGCAGTTAGAGGGATCTGGTATGCCAACAATATGATTGATTGCAAGCTAAACAGCAACAAGATATTGAATGTAATTAAGCCATTTTTCATTTCCAGCAGACAGACTTCAACTTAAGTTTGGCATTGACTGAGCTCAGAGAACTGATTTTTGCAACTGGTGTTCAAGGATTCAAGACCGGTCTGAATATGATAAATCTCAAACTATTTGGTAGGAATACTTTTTGCCTCAATCTTTGAGAGGAAGGTCACAATTTGAAAGATGAAGGCCCACGTGTTAGCTGGTGTAGATTTTTTGGTTTGATGTGTTACTGAATTGACTCCAAGTCTTCTTCTGGAATTATTAGTTATTTCTTGGAACATAACATATGATAGATAGTTGCATAGCTTGTGGAGACGTGAAGAATCACCTTTTTATTGCTACTTTTACGGTCTGTTTTTTCTAAACTTGGCTGACGATGATCATATCAGCCTATGGTAACCATAGATTTGAATGTGTGAATCTTTAAGAGGCAAAGGACTTGTTTGAAAGGATCAGAATGACCTGTCCTCTCAAAACTATCCATTGCTTCATTTCTTAATGTTTACAGAGAGGCTATAAAAGCCCAACCTGGTCCCAACCCCAAACCCCAGCTTTACAGGTCTCATTTCAGTAGGTTTACTCGACTTAAAAACTGATGCAAATTTCAAAATGATGGTTTTTCCTCTTTTTTGGTATTTTCATTAAACATCAATGTTCCCTTTGATTTTTGATATTTTTGGTTAGGATACTCATCCTATCATGTACCAGCAATCCAAAATATATATATTTCTCAATTCCTTATTAATAATTTACACCTTTCAGAGGTCGATTTAGGTAGTTTGTCAAGCTGTGAAAAGTAAAACAAGATTACTTTGATATTCAATTTTTGATTGCATCATCTATATCCTCGGTTCCCAAATCGAACAAGTCTTGCAATGTGGCTCGACATCGATTTTCCCGATATTATTCGCTCGGTCTGATTAATTGAATCTTTATAATTATTTCTTCTACTACTACATAATTTCATTCTCATCCACTTATTATTCTTTAATTTAGTCGCCATCCATTTAGTTATCATACTTTCTTGTACTTTTATTAATTTTATTTTTGTAATCTGATCTTTATTTATTTCTGCGCCTTACTCAGCAATTTCGCACCTCAGACAGCGGGCCGCGATTCTTAACCCCACCGTGTTCGCCCTCTGATTTTGGTCCCCAGCGACCGCGCTGGGATAGTGTTGACACGACGCTGCGGCGGATCGCAGCGCAATCGCTCTGTGGCTAGCACGGCGGCCCGCGATGGGGTGTTTGGGTGTTGTCGGGAGGAGATACATAGTTAAATTGATCACAGCTTTTGAGATACATATTCTAAGCTTGATTTGATGTTTGAATTGGATGATGAGATCTTCTTGGTTGATTGATAGATTGATTGAGTTGATACTTAAGAGTGTTGGAGACCAAGTGAAGCGAGTGATTACGGTGAGAAAGGGATCACCATCAGATTGACAAACGGTGATTAGTAAGTGGTGATATGTAATTGGATCGACGTTACTTAGGAGTATGTGAATGTATCTTAAGAGTGATAGGTACTTAATAAAGTCAATAGTTTCTAAAGAGACCAAGACATCGACCAGTAGTACTAGCAGTGAGTAGTAACTAACCACCAACTTGAACTTCAACACCAGTACCAAGTCAACCAAGTCAAGAAAGCAAGAAACGAATACCAATCTCAAACTTTATTCTCAACTTCGGAATCACTCTCAGAATCATCTCAATTGTCATCATCTCATCTCGAATGTCAACTAAACCTTCTTCAGCTTCAAGTAGGAACAATAGTGGTTTACCTATCTTACCAAGTTAAATCTTAAATCACTTTCTAAATCAAATCTAATCATCAAACTAACTTAAACCATTTCTGATTGGATTCCGATCACATTCCTCAGCATTTCGGTCTCCCAATCTAATCAAATCAACTTCAACTTCAAATTTAAAACATCAACAATCTAACAAAATCATGATGCCAATGAACATGTCAAATACAATCAATCCATCTAGACCTTCACCTTCTGGTTCAATCCCATCAGTCTCTTCACCAGCTAGTTCAAGTAGAGCAAGGGTAGATTCATTCTTTGGTGCAACTACACTTCAAGATGATTTACAAACTTCAAATCGATCAGCATCAGATCAACAACTTGAAGATCACAGTTCATCTACATCTCCCAATCAAATAGAATCCATTCAAAGTCCTCAAATCATCCATCAACCCAGCAGACCTTTACCTACAGTCAATCTTCATAATCAACATCAACATGATCAAGTTCCTTATCGTCAACCAAATCAATACGATCAAATCAATCCAGATGATCAAATAGAAGAAGAAGATTCTTATCTACCTAGTCCAATCCCAATCAATCCAATCGATAGGCCTTCATCTTTCTATGGTCTAGAAAGACATACAAGACAATCCACCCAACCAGCTCCATCAATATCCAATCGAATCAGTCCTTCAAATTCAAATCATTATCCAATTCAAGAAACTATCGAACCAAATCAAATGGATTCAATGGGCAGATCTAGTTTTATTCCTAATGCACGTAACAGTAGAACTATGAGTTGGTCTGGTTCTCAAATCGGATCAAATCGAATGAGTGTTTATAATCGAAATAGTGTCATGGGTGATGGCTTTCCTCCTCCGATGCCTGCTGGTCCTTTACTGGATCATAGTCATCTTAAGCCTGGTGCTAAAGCTAAATTACTCAATCATGCTAAAAGTAAGTCATCTCTACTCTTCAATCTCACCAATCAGGTAGCACGTCACAGACTGACTTATTGAATCCAATTGACCTTGATTCTTATTTACTTGATCGGTTACTTGAATTAGCTCTAGAACTGTATCGAGCAAATGCAAAAAAGACAAATGATGTAGAAGTGATTTTCGAATTTGCTTGTTTTCTGATGGATTTAGTTAAAGAAATGAATGAGGAAGATGATGATCGGTTAGTTTGTAATCTAACTTGATCTCTCATTCATCATCTTGGTTTAATCGCTCGTTCTGTGGAACTAATTTCATCATACATCCCAGTCGATCCATCAATAGTCAAAACACTACTTCATCTCCGACTACTTCAAAGTCTAGTTCACTTGGTCGTAATCCGTAAGTAAACTTGGCCTTAATCAGCGATCTAACTCAATTCATCATTAATCTCGCGTCCTTTTTCTTGTCATCTGATCATAGTGAACGAGAAAAAGAAAAAGGTTCATTAACACAAGAATCAATTAGTTTATTACAAAAACTAGCGAATCGAGGTCATGTAGAATCTCAATTCTTATTAGCAGATAGTTATACAAAACCAAATGGAATGACCAATCCTACTAACAATGGAATAGGACAAGTTTTACCAAGTGGTTTAACCGTACCTAGTGCAGGGCCGATTGGAAAAAGTTCTAGACAAGATTATGATCGAGCGTTTCCTCTGTTTGTCTTGGCTGCTAAACATGGTCATGTGGAAGCTATGTTTCGTGCTGGTCAGTGTTGTGAACATGGATGGGGTACTCGTAAGGAAAGAGATAAAGCTTTACAGTTTTATAGGTTGGTCATTTCTTGAACTCCTTTGAGATATCTTACGAAAGTGTAATATGAGTCTAATTCAATGAAGCGTATGTTGATCTGTTGATAGGAAAGCTGCTATTGCTCAACATCCTTTGGCTATGTATCGACTTGGATTAGCAGATCTGAATGGCGATTTAGGTCAACCTCGTCGACCAAAAGATGGAGTCAAATGGCTCAAAAGAGCCGCAGAAGTAAGTTTCTTTTTGGATTTCTTCTTCTTCTTCTCACTCATTCATTCATGATGATCAGCTTCTTACACATTGTTTTTTTTTGGTTTGGATTTTGTTGCGTTTTCAAGACAGCAGATGTATCGAATCCAAAACCATTACATGAACTTGCATTATTACACGAAAGAGGAATCGAACATGTAGTTTTTGTAGATTTTGATTATGCAGTTGAATTATTAGCTAGAGCAGCTGAACTAGGTTATGCACCTAGTGCATATAAATTAGGAGAATGTTATGAGTATGGAAGGATGGGATGTCCACAAGATTCTGCATTGAGTATTCATTATTATAGTTGAGTTTTGAAATCTACTTTTTTTTTCTTTTGATTTAGATTTGAGAAATTCATCGTGGGGTTTTCGTCCTTTTTCCCCCCCTCTCATTTTGGAATAGATATTGCTGCACAACAAAATCATAAAGAAGCTTGTTTTGCTTTGACGGCTTGGTATTTGGTTGGATCTTCTGGTGTATTACCTCAATCTGATACAGAAGCATATCTTTGGGCCAAAAAAGCTGCTGAAGCTGGTTTGGCAAAAGCAGAATATGCGATTGGATATTTTACAGAGGTAAGAAAAACATGAAGAATTTCCCTCTTCTTCTTCATGATCAAGAATGCCAAAGGATTTTTGAAAGACTGATGATGAGGTTTTACTTTTTGTTTCGGATGATAGGTTGGAATTGGGACTAAACGGAATGAAAGAGATGCGATTGATTGGTTTAGAAAAGCAGCTGAACATGGTGATAAACGAGCCATTGAAAGATTAAAGAATGGAACTGGACGAAGTAGTGGTGGCACTCCTCCTGGTACTGGTCCTGGTCCTACTACCAAGACAGATTCAGGTCAAGCTGGGAAAAGTAAAAAAGGAAAAGAAGGAAAAGAAGATTGTTTAGTGATGTGAAGTGATTGTGATTGTGATTTGAAGGAAGAAGAAGAAGAAGAGACCTTTGTTATTTTTGTCGTTCCCTTTTTTTTCAAGGGAGAAGGTAGACACAAGAAGGATTTCTGATCACATCGAATTCATCTCTTCTCCTTTCTTTTGTGTGGTGTTGATTTTTTTCTTTTGCTTTAAAGGGGTAAAGAAACTTGTAAGGTAAAGAAAGATTTTTTTCGGATGATCAAAAATGGACTTGAGAACACTTTGATTTCTTTTATTATCACTACATTAACATTACACTCGTAATATATATAGATATATAGATATGTATATTCGAGGGCATATAAATTTTTAATTTACTTTTAGAGACCTTTTTTTTTCCTATTTTTTCTTTTCTACTTTATCAAATAAGCATTTAACTCTTTTTTTTATATTTATATATAATAACTTATTTGATTTGATTGTTAATAAAGAAAATGAAGATGAACGAAAAAAAAATGAAAAAAACAAACAAACAAAACAAACAAGAATCAATTTTTTTTTCTTTTTTTTGTAGAAGATCAAATGATGTAATTAATTTCTTTTTTTTGTAAAACCGTGGTTCTTTTTTTTCTCGTTGGACTTTAAAGGTTTTGTATAGATTAAAGGGTGAAAGTGATTATATTATTAAAGTTAAAGATTGGTTTGGTTGAAGATCAATTGATCATGAGATGCAATCTTTTACATACCTTTTCAATTAATCTTTTCAACGAAAGAATGGAAAAGGTAGATTTATTTGAAGATGTTTTGATTTGAGATTGTTACTTTCGAGTGACACATGTTTTAGAGCACAACTTGGGCGCGTCTCGTTGAACTTGTCAAAGATTAATTTTTTTGTCTTCCTTCATTGAGTAAAGATATCAATCTTGGACAATCGTCATCTCTGACACACGCGTATTGTAGCTTTGTATCTATCACTAAAATTCTTTAACTTCTTGAAAAAGTAGTATACACTTTAGATTTCTAGTGTTGATCGCTGACTCCCTATGGGCGCGTTCACTTAAGGAATTTCTGACCAGAAATCACATTCTGTAATTTTTTTAATGCAAAAATGTAACATGCCCCACCAAATAGACATTTTAAATTTTGCAGAATGTGATTTCTCACCAGAATTTGCTCAAGTGAACGGGCCTATGTGTTTGCTTCAAAAAGTCACACGATTAGAAACTGATCTGGTGATCAATGGATAACATTTAACACTGGGATCGGTTGGCAAGCACTCGAGATAAGACTGTCTTCAACTTGATGGCCAATGTATTCAATGACCATCACTACAGGCAATTTTGATGTAGATAGGGTTGACATTTCATTACTATATAGACTTGATATTAACTTGTTATCACTATATAGATTACTATGGAAACTTGTTATTACTATATACAGTAGTTTTAAAAAACCTTGTCAAATTTTTTTTCTTGAGCTAGGGGCCCAAGCTCGGTGGTCAAGCACTTTTAATTAAAAGTGTGCCAAAGCAAAACACAAAGCAAGACCACAGTAAAAAAAAGTGAGAAGGGTTTGCGCGAGTATCCTACTCGCAAGAGATATCTGAAGCCACAAGGGGCTCAGCTTGATTCCCAAGCCGGATGATCCCCAAACCACCATCCAAACCACCATCAGCACCACGTTCCCCTTGCTCTACCAACACAATCTCCTCCATCATGGTCTACCGAAAGTACTGCGCGGCAATCAAAACTATTGCCATTTGATTGCTCCTTGAAGGACAGACAGAGGACCACGTTCGAGATGTACTCGGGGAAACCATTTCACATCGCTCTTTCCAACGCTGGATGGCCCTGTACGAGTCGACCATGCGAGTCATTTGCAATCCTAAAGATTACGCACAACGTGGGCGACCAAGAAGCCTGAATGAAGAGGATCAAGAGTTCATCACTTTGTTGGTAGCAGATCAACCCCAACTGTTTCTGGACGAGATTCGAGAACAACTCTATGATTTGCAAGGCAAACTTCCATCCCTTGAAACAATTCATAACGAGCTCAACCATCGACTACACCTTACTCTCAAGAAAGCTCATACATCACATGTTTGCAAAGACTTCTACAAGCGGGCATGCTTCATTGAGAAGATGGAAAACATCCCTGCCGAAGCCTTGGTATTCACAGGTCTGTTGTTTAAATTCATCTCTCACTCTTTACATAACCTCAACTGAAATTATTTCAAAGACGAGAGTTCCATCTGTGAAAGGGACCTAATGCGAGTATTTGGGCGTTCACCATCGGGGAAACGTGTGACTAGATGGATCAAACGCAGTAATGCCAAGAGGTATTCACTTCTACCTGCAATTGGGTTGAATGGGATGCTGGCGATGACGGTTCGCGAGGGTAGCATCAATCGACAACGATTTGAAACTTTCCTCGAGTTTCAGCTTGTAAGTCATCAATTTTTCTATTGTACATGTCTTGTTTGCTAATGTCTTTTTTCTGGAAAAGCTCCCCGCAATGAATCCTTATCCTGCGGTCAATAGTGTCCTTGTTATGGATAACGCTAGAATTCACCATGGCGGTCGCATAGCAGAGCTTTGTGAAGAGCGAGGTACGTGCTCAATGGGTGATATCTCTTCCTAACTGAACTTCTGTCTCTTTCATATGGGCTGCTTCTAGGTGTTCGACTTGTTTATCTGCCACCTTATTGCCCCGAACTCAACCCCATTGAGATGGTCTTTTCAGTAATCAAATCCCGATTCAAACGAAACGGAATTCTTGAACTCTCGGTCGACGATTTAGACATGGTCATACGTGATCACGCTGAAGAATGTGTCACTCCATCATTATTAGCACGTTTATATTTTAGTTGTGGCTATGATTTACCACCGGAGTACTATCACTTTCATAACAATGAGGGTTATGAAGATGAGGATTATGAAGATGAAGATTACAAAGATGAGAATGATGACGAAGATGGGGATGAGGATGATGAGGATGAAGATGATTATGACTATGATTACGAGGAGGAGGAGGATTACGATGACCATTTTGGATACTGAAAAGTTTCCAAGTCCAAATTTCACCAAAAACACATCAATCTGATCGATCTCAAGGACTCTTATCATCAAATCGATCCATCCTTTCAATTTATACTAATCTTTCAATCTTACTTCTTTATCTTTTGTAACTGACTATCACTATCAAATCAAATTGATCAAATGGCGAATCATCAATCAAATCGATCAATTAAACCATCTCATTGAATCATCATCATCATCAAACCAACGATGAGAAAGAAGAAATCAATGGAATTGCCTTCAAAGTCAGACCGTTCCTTCCATATCACAACCACAGCCTCGATGTTAGCCAACACTCAATACTTACTCGAAG